AATTGTAAATATATATATATATATATATAATATATGAAAATATATGTATATCAGTCAGTTCGGTTTCGATCGATTTTTTTAACCGATTCGATTTTCAGTTTTTTTTCTCACCCTTAAGAAGGATCAGCTGCCATCCTGCCATAAACCCTTCACCGTCGCCCCTGCCGCGTCTACTGTCAAGAGCAAATCCCCGCTAGTTCTCACTTCCACCTCTCCTGTAATCTCCTATCCTAATATTTCCAATCCTAAAAAACCACCTTCTCCTTCTTCTTTACCGCTTAATGATCTGAACAATACCTCCCAATCTGATTCCGAGGCACATAGTTAGTCAGGTTTGAAAATTCAAGGGTAGTTCTAAGCTGAACCGATGGTCTAGGACACATTCTATACGCGATGGACGGAGATTAGGCTGCTCCTAAGTCGATGAGAAAACCGACTTAGTTTACAAAGTGTGTCAAGTGGACTGGATTTAGTCCAATCCGATCCGGTTCAATGTGAATCCATTATAAATGGATTAGGTCTAATTTAGTCCAATGAATATTTTGGACATTTTGAATCGTTCTAATTTAATGTCTGTACCATCCAATCAGTTCAAATTTGTTTTGATTTAAATTGGTTTCAACCTAAACTTGGTCCAGTGACATCTATATTCTTATCTTATATCAATGGATCAGATATTGGCTTAATCCAACCTACTCCAATATAAATTTATTATGGACAGAGCAGGTCCAATCCAATCCAATCTAATAAATAGTTTGGACTAGATTGGTCCAATTCAATATATTTTGTTGGTCCATCCAATCTATCCAAATTGATTTTTGACTAGACGGGTCCAATCCAAAACCGATCTATTGACACCCTTAATTTACATTGCAGATCTTAGAGAAGAAATTATCCTTGTTTAATCCAAACTATAGAAAGATCTGATGTCAAAATCCACACACAAAGAGAGAGAGAGAAGAGAGGTGGGTTTTTGGGTGGAGTTGCCGCTGGTTTGCTAGACGGTGAGTTTTTTGGGTTTATGGGTGGAGTTAGTATGAGAGAGAGATCAGGGAACAAGGAGCTTCCGTTGGTTTGCTCGGCCGTGTGTTTTTGAGTGGATCTCTGGCGACCTTCCTGATTCATAATAACTTTGATCAAACGCCATCTCCACCGGTTTGAGTAGAGAAGTGTAATCATTGAGTGGGTATTTTGGATATAATTTAAATTAAATTGAACACCTAGGGAAATTGTCCAAAACTCATAATCGCTTTTTTATGAATTCTCTTAAACTCATCATAACTTTTCAAAATATCCAAAATTTACCATGTCAAAGATTTTATTTTCTAAAATTCACCATCCATTAAAACACGTTAAAATTTATTGACCCAAATATCCACGTCAACCTATATGCAAGTTTCATGACCAAACTGCCATTGAATGATGAATCAGCTTATTAATTGTTTTTGACTGAAATGCCCTTAATTCTTTCTTTGAAACAAAGAAAAAACCGTTCACTCACCGGTCACCACCTTTGCTAACATACGCTCGTCTCCACTGCTCTCAATTAATGTTGCTCTCTTCCTCTCTCTCTCTCTCTTTGAACTTGTTGAACTTGTTGGTGATAAACTGGAGGCCTTGTACGGCACGGGTGGCTCCCGACTTGGTTCGACCGACCCTGTTGAACCTATTGTTGGAAAGTAATGCGTCGGAGCTCCTGTGAGACCTGTCGTATCTTCATGGAGAACTGGGAGCCCAGAGAAGGCCACCGCCGCTCCAGACGGCTGGCCAGTAATGCCGTCTCCGGGTCACCTCTCTTGTTGCTGGTAAAGGGGCCGCTCAGAGGGCCACTGAACCCAATTCTCGCGCTTCCCGTGTTCGACTCGGAGCCCAGATCGGTTTGGTAGCCTTGGCTTCCCATTTCACTCCCTACACCCATTTTTTCTGGAGTCTGATCGATCGTCCTCATAACCTGGGGGTTGCCTTAAGCACTTATCTTTCCTTAAGCGCCCAATCTTCAGCGACAAACGTATGCTCCCGTCTTCGCTCCCTCCTCCGGGGATTGAAGAGTAAAACGTATGCACCCGTCTTCGTGCCCTCCTTCTCCGGTTCTTGTACGGGTGTCTAAATTTCACTTGTACAAAAACGGGTGTCTAATTCCGTTCTTGACACAAGAATGATGCTCACGTCTTCGCGCCCTTCTCTTGCAGTACAACTCATTCTCCGGTTATCTTCCGCCGAAGTTCTCAATGTAGCTCAGATCTGGTTTCACGCCCTTTTGTTCAGCTTTCGACTACGCAAACCTACGCTTGGACCCACTATTAGGCCCCTTGGGCTCTTGTCGTCACATGTCGATAATTTGCATGGAAGAATTCAGACTCACAAGAACGATGCCAACACGTCTGTCCAAATGTTTTAATATTCGCACTCAAGGGTAAAGTAATAAATTAGTGATGCCTGTTAATCAAGTTATGCGGTTATCTCACTAATATGGTGAGTTTTTGACGTTTTGAAAAGTTATAATAAATTTAAGAAAATTCATAAAAAATGATGATGGATTTTAGACAATTACCCAACACGTAAAATCACGTATAGTCAATTTGCGATAATGGAAAGAAAACTGTGCATCAATTGTTAAAAATAAGGATGCTTTAAAATATTAAAACAGTAGGAATATAATTAATTAATTTTCTAAATCTTAAAAATAATTTAAGAAATTTGCCATTAAGAAAAGTTTTGATCATTCAAAAACCTTCCTCCATGTGTTGCAACATTTTTCTGGTTTTTTATTGAACATATCTGTTAACCAAGTTTGTGCTATCCTTTGCCCCACAGACATGTTAGGACCCATGAAAAGATTAATCTACAACCAGCTCGGGTCTGAGGACCGGATCTCCAGCAAACAAAACTATATATGTAGTCTGAAAAAAAAAAATAAACCAATCATACATCGAAAATATCCTCGATATACATCGAATGCTTGTATACACAAAGTTATTCGAGCTTGGGTATGAATGCGGCCGGCCTATTCGCACCATTTTTGTCTTTGAGGAATCGAAATCCGAAATCATGTCTCGTCCTCTCGTCTAGCATACAAAAAGGTAAAATACAAAATCTCTCTTGAAGTTTCTGATAATAATAAAAACCTCTTCTTTAATTTTATTTCAATAAATATTTCCCCTGAAATTTAAAAAAAATCAATAATTACATCACTTCCATCACCAACTTAGACGGAAAAACGTTAAGTTGATGCATCAATTTGTTTTCAAATACTCATCCTAATCTGGGTATTAATAGCATCTCCACCAAGGCCAAGAATAACAACGAAAGGAAGCGGGATCTGCTACTCACAATGGACACCTCACAAGCACATCCACCATGCAGGAACATCTCCCATCAACAATGACTAATAAGTACGGGAGATGTTCTCAATTGGATGATAGAATGTGCGTGTGAGGCGCCAGGTGTGAGGAGAAGATTCGGTCTCCAACGAAAGCGGGGATTTGGGGTTCTTTGGCTACTCTGCAAGGAATGAAAACTCTGTTTAGGAGAGGAACCAGAGCAATGAGTGACCTTGTTGTCGCTCATATCACGGAGGGCGTTACAAATGACACGCTTCACTTGTTTATCAGAAGTATATATCAATCTGGTCTCATCGTGCGATTAGATGTCACACTTATCTTCCCTTCTTCCTCCTTATCTTCCCCACTTGGCATTTCTTTGATTTATTCTTCTATAATTCGGGAAGAAAATGATGCTTTCTTGAAGCTCATCTGTCATTAGAGACAGGCGCATGATCGTGGTACCTGTGGTTCCCGGAGTGTTGGGCGTTGGGGTAAGTGTGTAAGTCTGCTAGGATGAGGCGGGTCCGCTGTCTCTAAAGTTGGAGGTGAACCAGGCAAAGGTGCTGCCGTCACTTTGTGGCTCGTGGACACCGTCGTGGAGATGGACGACAGTGGGAACGCCACCGTTCTTGGGAAAGGCAGTGGGAACGGTTCGATCCCATGGGAGTATGTGATTTTGAGGGAGATGATTTTGCTACATCACATAAGTTGGTACTCCTCAGAGTGTCTCAATCATGGGACCGGGAATAGTGGTGGTTATTCGGGAGAGTCTCGACTATGGGACCGGGAGCAGTAGCGGCCATTTAGGAGGTCCCATACGCGAATACTATCGTTGGAGGCAAGTCACGATGGAACTTCTGTAGTAAAGTGGAGAAAGAAAAAGTTCATCAAACATGATAAAGAAGCAAGAGGGAGTATTGTGAATCAAGAATTAATCAGTATCCATTTCTTTTGATACATGCCGATGGTAAGACTTGAAGGAATGGAAAGGCGATACAGCATGGAATAACCGTAGAGCTTTGTTATTTGTGGGAGTTCATCAATTGCAGAGAAGCGGATTCTTGTTGAAGATTAGTTGCTTCAGTTATTGGAGGAGGAGGAGCCTATGCTTGGGCTTAGTAAAAATATTGGAGACGATTATAACGCTATTAGGCCTGTAAACGGATCGAATCAGGCTAGGCTAGATTCGAATTCAAAATCGATCATAAATATTAATATTCGAATTTGATTCGATATCCGATGGATATCAAATATTTCAATTTGAATTTGATTTCAATTTCGATTAATAAATCGAATATTCGATTGGATTCGAATTCGACCGATTAACTTTTTGAATATGAATCCAAATAGATTCAAATCTGATTTGATTAACTATTTTACAATAGACAAACTTTGAAATTTAACTTTTTCTAAACTTCTAATTTTCCTCTAATACATGACTCTAGTTTTCTTGTTTATTTATAATTAAACTCCACAAAAGCAATATGACCACAAAACCGATGGTTTTAGTTTTGGAATTGTTCTATGGGAACAAGAAAGGTAGTCACAAGTAATTTATTTTTATAACTGAAATGGGTTCTTTGGTTTGGGGGGGGGGGGGGTTAATTTTCATAATGATGGAACAAACCAAAAAATCTATGCAGATATTATATATATATATATGCACATTAGATTTAACATAGATTCATATGTCCACCAAGTTAAAGAATAGAAGAATATGGCCTTGATAAGGAGAGTAAATGTCCTACCTTTTTGTGGCTTGCTTCATCTGCTGCATCTCTAACCAAGGCTTGACCAATTGAAACTACATGCTRCAGCACATAGGACACATTAAAGTTGCTACTACATGTTCTAAAGACAAACACACCCTTATGTATTGATTTTCTAGTAGTTTGTTTGTCTTTTCACTAAGGATTTTCCTGGATTTTCAAAAACAAAAAGGGAAATGATTAGATCACCATTTGTGAAATTCATACCCACCTCTCTAAATATTGTGGATATTGGCTCTAATCCTTTGGTAATTCTCAAAAAGAGGTTATATATCATTGACAGATCCTTCACCTACATCAAATAAGATCAATCAATTTCAACAGAAAGAGAAAGACTTCACTTTTCTTTGCACCAATTACAAGATGACACTGATATACTGATACAGATCTGATCATCTTCAAGTAGTCTACGCAATCCAAAGCTTTCCTTTTAAACGAAATGGTTTGCATGTACAAACAAAAGTTCATGCTGTATTTTCTGTTTAGACAAATTACATTGAATAGGGTTACAGTGTTACCATGCATGCCATCTCTTACCAAGAGCAAAGTAAAGACTACATAAATACCTCTAACAACTTTTGTTCAGTGCTTGGACATAGGCAATGAGAAACTCTCTCTTTCTAGGTTTTCAAGCATTGTTTCACTTGAAAATATCATAATGAAATTATTAACATTTTTGAAGCTTACCCTACATATTTTAATTTTCACTAGATCATTGAGATAGAACAAATACCAACCATTAACATATAATCTGGGTAATAATCCACCAAAATATGGTCCAAAGCTTTTCTAGAGAAAGCTTTTCAAGCATTTATACTTCAAAACCATTCTCATATAGTTCAATCCCTACAACCCCTATATCTCTAAAGATGGAGAGTGGAGATTAGAGAGAGCCAAGGAGGTAGAGAGGTAAACTTTGATTTTGAAATTAGAATCATCGAATGTTAATTTTCATTTTCTCAATTCTGAAATTGTTTTTTTTTATTTTTTAAACCTCTTTTTAGTTTTATACTTATATATATAATTGGTTTGAATATTTATCGAATTGGATCAATGCATATCCGAATTTGATCCGATAATTTAATCGGTAAAAAATGGTATTTGAATTCGATCGAATATCCAATTCAAACTATCCAAATTCGATTCGATTATGCCAAATCTCAGACCCGAGTTCAGATTTTCGAATACCGTTTACAGGCCTAAACACTACTGTGATTATGAGAGATAATAAAAACTTGTAGTTTTGATGTAACCCAATTTGTAAAATCGGATAGAAAGGAGAAGGTGGAAGAGCATTGATGTCGATAAATATTAGTTTTAGACCATACACGTGGATGAGTGTCATCAATCTGTAATTCCGAAAGATTCAATGCAAAAAAAAAAACGATCTGACATTAACAAGGGTAATTTCGTAATTTTATAATTTTCTATTGAAGTCATTAACGGAAGATTTAGGAAGATGTTTGTTAAAATGAAACTAATGAGGAGGTTTTTGTTATTGTCACAAACTTGAGGAGAGGTTTTTGTATTTTACCCCATACAAAATTTAACCGATATTTGCGCACGACAAGGCTACCATACTGAAACCTGACATGTTTTTACTAAACATACCTTATCTTGTCTGAAGCGCAAAAAAAGCCAAATTGTATGGACTCGCCATTTAACAGCATTCCTCCTTCAAAGTCACACCTTTACTCGCGAGCCAGCTGGCACCTTCACTGTAAATATGCATGTCGGTGCGTGTGCACGAGGAAGAGAAAGAGACTAAGAGGGGAGGATGCGTGCAGCGTGACTGCGAATAGATGACTGATGAACATCCTTCCTTAATGCGAGAGTGGAACGGCTTATCGTAAGTGTGGCGTCCATTTCACCAATCTCGCTGGTTTCGAAAAAAAAAAATTCACCAATCTCGCCTTTCAGCGCCGGCCGGGATCTGCTACAATCAACGGCGTATTAACAAATCAAAAGTGAACACGCCGGCGATCGGTACAGATCCGGATTGATTATGTGAGCCAACCTTATCCTAAACACCTGTATATGTACCCGAGAAGTATGCTTTTCTCCTAAACTCCTGGCTTCAATTCTGCAGTAGCTAGGTTTGCTATAGATCACTTTTGAGAAGCAAGGACCACAGATAAAACGAGGGCGAGATGGACATAACGTAGGGAGAACGAATTTGACTCTGCTACACGATCATTTTGCCTTCATCTGAGGGATTCATCACTTTAGACCATTTCTGCAATTCATGAAGAAACACACACAGACACATACAAAAAAAAAAAGAAAAGAAAGAAAAAGAAGAAGAAAGTCAGAATTAAGATGTAGATGAAGAGTTTGATCTTACCTCCAGCCGATGACACGCGGCTCCAAGGATGAGCAGACGCACAACCGCGCAGAGAATATTGATCAGTAAAGCAGAGTGGCATGATGGAGAAAGGGGGCACATGAAGAACCAACTAAGCTAGCGCAGCTAAAACTAACCTTGCGAGGTAAGATGTAAAGAAATCGTGCTTTGTTAGCAATGCACGTGCCCTGCTTCTCCATCTTGCACTTCACACACCCTGCCTTGGTTTTGGCTCATCGCCATGGACATATCTTCATATCCAAATTTCACCATGGCTTTAATGCTTCCCCTGAGGAAGACAAAGCAAAGGCTTGGAATCCCTCTTCCTCTTCTTTTTATAAAGAGCGAATTTGGAACACCCATCGCCATTTTCTTCTACCTTTTCCGCCTTTTCCCTATATTCTTTCTATTTTAATTTGGAACACCCATCGCCATTGGGTTGGGGGATATGAAAAGCTGAGTTACTGTGGGTATGAGACCGCACTGGTTTGGTGGTGTCTCTCTAACTCTCAAGACTCTCAGTCTCTCACGACTCGCAACTCACAACTAAGCATGGTATGTATATACCATTAATTTTGGATACAGAGTTACTGAAGTACCCTTATTTCATTTTGTTAAGGCGGCGTTTGGTTGATAAACATTAATAAACATATTTTCACATGCATGTCATGAGATTGAATGGGGCGGGAGGGAAGCTGCATATGGGGTAGAAATGCGTCGGATTCGGATTGGATGTACATAGATGGATTCAAAGCGAATCTTATCTTTTCGCATTTCGTATTATGATCAGACTTTGGATGACATTTAGATATTATATTTAATAAATAGATTTAATTAAAAATATTGTAAATGACATAGATATCATATGCTATTCATGAATGAATAAAATATAATCTCGGTGAGACTTGAACTTATGAACTTATTTGAACCAGATTTATTAATTAATTAGCATATATTAATTTAATATAAACATATACACGTACATACCGATCTTATTGGACTGAAACTAGGACTCAAACTTAACTCATCAAACTGCAGTGATTTCACTATTCAGAGATTTGAACCAATTAAAAACAAATGAGGTCCAAATACAATTCAGTCAAATGGGATTTCAGATTCTAATTGGGGGTAACGTTGACAGTGTTGGTGGCACAACAGCAACAAGGGCAGAAAACAAGCCAAGATGAACAAAACTTTGCCCTACTTAATTTATTTGGCTCATGAACTGGTGGTTAGCTCATGCTTCACTTGAGATGGGAAGGAACTTTAATTTGGTGGTGTGTTCATGCTCATTTTGCTAGTGTGTGTCAAGTTCGGGCATGGCTTGTCTCTTTCTTGAATTAATAGGCCAGATTATACAACTTTATTTATCAATTAATAGTCTATGTATATATAATGCCAATGCTTACCTTGATTGTTATGCAAGTCATAATAAAAAAATTATTTCATATAAGGTTAAAACTTCTTCTCACACTTGTCATCATGAGATATTACCACAACATCAAGAGAACGGTTCCTATTAATTAACTCAAATATAAGTTGTACCTTATTCGAATGATTCAACTCCCAATGGGCTCTTGCCGAGTTAGCAAGGTTGAATTTGCTTTTCGGCTCAGCTCACGTAAGGAAAAGCTTACAAGCTATAGCTTAATCCGGAGAAAAAAATATGCTTTAATCATGATTTTGTTTTTTTTTTAATATCTTTTGAAGGGTTCTACTATGAAAATAAGAAACCTTACCAAACAGCTGATTGGTATTTTGCGCTTTAACCATGATTGTAGCATCTATGAAATGCGAACACAACAGCGCGCATTTGAAATGAATTCAACATCGCATCAAATGTTTAAGGGTTACAACTTACATATAACCATGTTCACAGCAGATTTTTTCTCAGCTCGATGGGTTTATTCAGATTTAAGTTCGCCTTACTTACAGCACCAAGTAAACACAAGTTTGGAATTAATTAAAACCTTACATCAAAATTTTTACTTCAAACGCTGCTGTGTTCGTATTTCGTGAAGGGTTGCATGCAACCACGGTCCCAGGCTCCCAGCAGATTTTAATTTTTCTCAGCTCGATCGGCTTATCCAGCTTACCATTATGATTTAGCTCGACTTATTTACAGCCCTAAATTCACGCAACCTACCCTTTCAAGTGGAATCAAAGAGTCAAGTGGATGGCATAAGAAAATTCCACGCAGATGGCCAACCACACACAAGTTGTGGCCAAAAATTAATGTTCCTCTTCTTATTTGTACCGGGAATCGCTAAGCCGACAATTTGTAAAGAAACCTTATTGGGAATGCTGGCCCGAGTCACGATAATTTGGGTCCAGCGATGCACACCAAACAACCCACATAAATAGAAAGAAATAAATGCATGTAATTGTAGGCGTTATATATATAGCGGAGATTTGAGATCAAACTCCGTTGCCATCATGGTTGGGGGTTATGCAATTGCCCAGTTAGGAATTTTCTTTTGGGGAAGTCAAGTTAAACCAAAAAAAAAAAAGAAATAGAGTAAAAGAAGTAGGGTTTCAAGAGAAATGGGATGGGAAGGTTTTATTGGGTCTATTACAGATTTTTTTAAAGAAAAAATAAACATTTTTTTTTAATTTTGAGAGGGGGGCAAAGGATCCACTTTACTATGTTTTAACTCTGCCTTCACTTGCAATTAATTATATAAATGGTGGTTTTAACAAATTAAAAGTTTTTTCGTTTTTTTTTTTTTTTTTTTTTTGTGGTGGGGTGGGGTTGTCAAGAACCCCTCACCAAAATACTTGGCTCCACCCCTGGGGTTATGGGTATCAGGGTATGGCTCCGTATGGGGATGGGCTACCCTCTTTTCAAGGTGGAGCTTACATGGACAGATTTTAAAATGTATTTGGTTAAAAAAATTGGAAAATCGGAATCGACTGACAGCCTATTCTTTTTTAGAGTGTCTGCTTCAGCAACCTTTTGAAGCACCTCAAAGAAACAGAATCATTTTAGCTCAATCTTCAGCTAAGCCTTCCCAAACGGGTATTTTAGCTTAATCTTCAGCTAAAACAAAATATATGCACAATAAAAATAAATCAGAATTTGTATTAAGCTCCTTGTTTCAAACAACCCTTCTACTATTTGTTTCAAACAACCCTTCTACTTCATGTTACTTATTTTAGTTCTAACTTTAGGGTGTTTTCATCAACATGCATAGTTTTATTTGTCAAATGCAACATCAGCAAAAACAACATGTGGTTTTAATTTTGATAAACAAAACCATACACATTAACAAAAACCTTTTAGCTTCTTGTTTTAATTGAATATTAATCTTGGCTTCATAAGTAACAGGTTGTTCATTGGAAGAAAGATAATTATACTTTAAACATTTTAGGGGATTTTTTCCGATATGGATCTTTTTTTGAAACAGATTTTTTGACTTAAAGTTGTAGTAAAGCTTACAATAACAACTTAAGTTTGCATTTGGTACTGCTGATGTTTCTACTTGAAAAGTTTTGGGTTGATCAATGGAAATTATTGGTGAAAAATATGTATTAGCCACATCACATAGGATTATATGAATTACTTCAACTAGAAAAATGTATGTTAGGTATTGATCATAGAATTTTATGAAACATTAAATTTGACATTTCAGATAGAAAAAACCTCCATGAATTTGTATGTTGATCAACCTAAAACATTTCAGGTAGAAATGATAATAATATCAAACTTCATGTTCTTGAATTTCACATCCTTAAAATATTTCCCCATTATTCTTAAATTTTTGTTTTGTTCTTGGATTTATACTTGTTTGCAAGGTTTATGTTCCTTATATAGTTTTGAGGGTAAGGTTTTATGACCCTTAATAAAGTTATTTTTTGTTCTTTTTATCTTTTTAAATAGCATGCTCCTTGAATGTCAAAATCCCATTTAGATTCAGTCTTATGATATTGGATCCACCTGTTGCGTGACATTGGGGGAGTGTTTGCTTCATGTTTCTACTTTCTTTATCCTTGTGGCTCAGTTTGGAAAGAATACAAATATAAATATGTATTATATAAATACATACAAAATAATATAAAATATAAAGTTTTGCACTCTATGAATTTGCAGTTGTACACCTTTCAAGCCTATAAAAAAGTTGCTATCGCAAGGGATGATGTTATAGCCATTGATGTTCCTCTCAAGTCCCGTACAAAGTTTCATTTTGAAAATGACTAATAATGGTCCTCCTATTATGAGTAAAGATGCATGTGCACAGGACTTTCCACCAGAAAATGCTCAATCTCGGAAATGGAATCCAAGAGCAACTAATGTTATGTAATTCTTCCTTTACCAAAAAAAAAATAAAGTGATTATTCGTTTTTTGAATTTTAAGAGGAGGTAAATTTGGTCAACTTTGGTTCCTATCCACCAAGAGCCCTATGTTCTTTCTTTAGATTTATGTATGGTTCATGAAAAATTTATTTTTCTTGGGTATCACTTACTCAGGTAAGTGATGCTCATATCCTAGGTGGGTAACTAAGGAAAAAGTTGCCCACACTTGGATAGGGCAAAATTACCCATTTTAATAACGGTTTTTTATGGCTAAAATTGTCATTGTCATATTTACTTGAGAAATAAAAGAACATGGGTAAATGCACTAGTATTTCCTAAGAAACACTTACTCGGGTAAGTTCATGTACCTAGGGGTGTCAATTGGACTAGATTTCGTCCAATCCAATCTAGTCAAATGTGAGTCCATTATAAATGGACCAGGTCCAATCCAATCCAATGAATGTTTTGGACCAATTTGGACCGGTCCAATTAGGGGTGGATTCGATCCGAGTAGAGCCGAATAGTACCAAGCTCAAGCTCGCCTCGAAACTATTCTACAAGGCTCGAGCTCAAGCTCGACTCGAGTCAAGAGTTCATAAGCTCGAGCTCAGCTCGGCTCGACTCATTTTGTATTTTATAAAAATAAAATGTATATATAAAAAATTAAGAATTATAATATTTTTATTATATATATATTATTTTCTATAATTTCATTATATATATTATATATTAAATTTCAAATATATATATATATATATATATATATATTCGAGCCGGCTCGCGAGCCAAGCTCTATTAGGCTCAAGCTCAGCTCTTTTAATAATCAAGCCACTGAATTGGGAGCTCGTGAAAAGCTCGGCTCGTTGCCACCCCTAGGTCCAATTCAATGTCTAGACCATCCAATCTGTTCAAATTCATTTTGATTTAGATTGGTTTCAACCCAAACCCGACCCATTGACACATATATTCTTATTTTATATCAATGAACCATATATTGGCGTAATCCAACCCAATCCAATATAAATTTGTTATGGACGGACCAGGTCCAATCCAATCTAATAAATATTTTGAACCAGATGGGTCCAATCTAATATGTCTTATTGGTCTGTCCAATCCCTCAAATTGATTTTGGACGGGATGGGGTCCAATCCAAAACCGGTCCATTGACACTCTTACATTTACCATGGTAAGTAACTTCCTAAAAAGCAAGTGGGGCCTATGA